TTACCCTCTCGCCATTTACGTCGCATAGGGCGCGCACTTCTCTCCTATATCTATATCAAGCAAGCACTGTTGGCATTTCGTCGCCGCTCAGCAAATCACCCCGCGCGTCGTCGGCCCATTCATCGTTCTTAAAAGTCTGTCCTCTACCAAACGAAACGCGCGCATATATGTACACGTACGTCTCTTCGCGTTTTTACGACTCTCGGATGGGGGTTCCCGGGGCTTTTAACTTTCACGACACACACGCCCGAGCACACCCTCGAGTATCCTCGCCGAGGATTTACCGTGGTCGCTTTAAGAAACGATCTTTACTGCCGCCTGTAAACTTTTAATCCCGTCCACATTCGCGTTTCAAAGGGGAAAACACGCGCGTTTGAAGGGAGACGACGATCGCGTTTGACGAGCACACGCCACCCTTTGCCCTCCCCCTCTCCTTTCCCCGCGTCGTCGCTCGCGTGTCGAAAGTTCACCGAAACATTTTTCTCAACACAATTTCCAAGCAAAGTGACGGAAAGTTCTCTAAAACGAAAAAAATCAAAAAGAAAAACCAAAAAAAAAAAAGAAAACATGATTCACTTACCTGATTCGAAGTGCGCCGTGTGTGCGCACAATAGACCGCGGGTTTCTCTAAACTTTCGCGTGAATCGGGAGATATTTTTCCCCGAGACTCGTTTATGCGCTTTTTGAAGAATTATGAGGCAGTCGCTCATGCAAGTCCGCGTTACGTGTTCTCTCTATACTTTGTCGCGCTCGCTTGTATAAGCGGATCCGCGTAAATCAAGCCGCCGCGCTTGTAACGAGAACGTACGTGGAGATAACAGAAAACGGATTGAGCAAGTACAGTCCGAGGATATAATGTACGATTCTTCTTTGTCTCGTAGCTTCCGCGTTTCTTTTTGAGAGAAGAAAGGGAATAATTGGACGCGGGAAACACACAGAGAGACATTCAAAATCTTTATTTTCAACGGAACACACGCGGAGATTTTCGCGATAGCACCGCCCGTTGGTCTGGTGACCTCGTAAAAATCTAACTGTACGATATCAGTACTTTAAAAGGCTCTTCTCTTGCCAACGCGGTACGTGAGTGCTCGCGACTTGGTTGGTAAAAGGTCGCGCGAAACCGAGAGAGAGAGAGAGAGAGAGACGAAGTGCGTTATACGGTAACGATAGTGGACCATTAAGCAAACGTTTACTCTTTATCGTTACACTAAGCTAGGTTACGCTTTTACTTCGCGTCGTGGCGCGCGCGAGCACTGCAAATAATGAACTTAGTGCATACTTTAAAAAAAAATTGGCAACGTTTTACTTTGAAGACAGAATATTTATTCATATCTTTGCGGGAGAAATTTCGATTACGTGTTACATTAATTTTTTAAGTACGCTTTGCGATTTCTAAATTTGCAATGCGCAAACACACAACGGCGTTGAAGTTCTCGCGTATTTTGAAAAAAAAAATTAACGACGACGTTTTCCACAATGGTCTCTCTTGGCGGCTTATAGGAAAATTATGATTAATTAGCCGCAATTAGAGTCCAACTCCGCGCGCGAATTTTCCCTCGCGCGAATTTTTTACCGTCAACCCGTCAGACCGGGCGTTTAAATCGCGCGCGGAGAAAATTATTTCGACAAAAATTATCCGCGCCGGGAAATGCCACGTGCTATTGTTACGCAATTACGGAAAAGAAAAAGACAGAGAGAGAGAGAGTGGAAGTTGAGCAAACGTTGCGTAAATCTCCTGAAACTGACGCGACAAGAATTCTATCGTTCCAGTATTTTTAGTCGTTAAATTAACGGATTGTTGTTAACAATTTTTAAAGAATACGAATTACACAACTCGCGGACACTATTCAAAGTACTTTAGTAATTTGTTGTTGAACACAATTTGTTGTTATACACAATTCTATAAATTACAACAACTTTTATTTTAACTTACTTCGAATTAAGCTCCACCTAATGTCTCTTTGTAATTTTCTACCTCATTCTCTTTTCGTTGCGTCAGCGTCGTTAATTTTGTCAAGAGAGAGGTCATTATGCGCCTCGACAAAAAGAGTCAAAAAAACAAACGCCAAAGCGCGGGATAATTTCAATATACCGCAAGTTACGTGTTACCATCCAACGAAACTGCATCTGAACACGTGGCGCATCGGTGGTTTCTTTTGACGGACTGCTGGAGAGATTTATGAACAAAAGCCGCTATAGGTCGCAAAGTATTAACTTCGTTAGAGCTGAATGCCAACCGAAATGAACGGCAGAGAATATACACCGCTATATTTTATAATACTTGCCGTTTGAAATCTATTTTAGATAATGTCTCAGTTGCATCTTTTATTGCAATACGCGTGCAGATTTTGCTTCAAAATTATTTATCACAAAATGTAAAAAACACAAAAGCAAAAATAAATTAACAATTGAAATAAAAATGCATTCAGCACAATGACAATAAGTTTCGAAGACCGAAAAGAATTGCAGGCGCGATGCGAGAACAGAGCTAGATTTCTTTTAATGAAAGCCGAGCTTTAATCAAGAGTCAGTCGTAATTACTGACTGACCTCGAGCGCATTTAGAAACCTGCCGCTTTCAATTCAAGAGAAACGTTTCCTTTCTTAGCCTGAAACGCGATACCCGCGCCCATAAGGACGATACAGGCGGGGAATTCGATTTTATCTGCAAATACACCACCGTGGGTGGTCGACGACGGTGGTTTAATATAGCGAACCGTTGTGCTTTAATTCCGCCGATTTTCTGGCGTCGTTTTTTTTTACGCGTAGTTGCGTAAAACACGCGTGAGATACGCCGAGCGAGTTTTTAGAACAACCGAAGATCATTCTTTTTCGCTTATCTTATCTTGAATTCGTTTCAGTGTAATTATAACTACAAAAGATATGAGTAAAAAGAAGAGCATCTCTGTTCTAATAATAAAATTTTTTCTAAAAATACAAACTCGCGTAATTTGTGATGATACGATGGCGTGTGGTCTCTTCGAGTTTCGCTCTCCAATTGATTTTTCACAACCAGAAAAAATAACACGCGGCAAATGGAACGTTGATATCACTCGTCCGTCAAGAATTTCGATAATTTGGATCCCCCGTGTACTTTTTCCTTGTCCGTCCGCGTCGGGAGATTCCACCCTTCCGATTTCTCTTGATAAATCACTCTCTTCAAAGGGATCGTATGGCCACGACGAAATAGATACATCAGCGTCCGGAAAAATACACGCAATTTACCACTATGATACAACGATAATTCAATATTTTTATTTGCGCGTTGAGAATATTGTAAAAATGGCGTTTGAATTTATCACACATAGGTACGACGTCGGAAAATTTTCGTGATTTTACGAATATATATTTAAGCGACCATCTTGCGGCAGACGAAGAGAATTAACCGCCCTATTATCCCGTCCCGTGTTAAAATTTGCGCGAAAAGCAAACGTTCCGACGCGCGGTAATTCGTTTTTCGCGCGCCATCCGCCGTTACACACACTTCCGGCTGCTCTTCCAGACGAAATCGCTCTCTCACGCACGTAGAACGAACGCGGGGGAACAATGTCGTCGACAATATTATTCTGAGAAGGGTCACACGAGACGCGAGACAAGATACACGATGATCCGTGCCGCAAGGGACGTCTTCTCCTAAGAGCAATAGATTCAAATAATTCTTCCTCCAAAATATATCGCAGGGACGCGGTTCGAGGTCAATCGCGATGTAATGCGAAACATATATACATATATATAATCCCTTATAAATTTCACTCGCGCCGCGATTGGCGACATTCGTCATCCGCGTTTTCGACCCGCCGGACCCGAAAAGAAACCCTTTCCTGCGACGCAGCTCTCTCTTTTCTCTTTCGTTCTCTCGCTACACACACTTCGACCACCCTCTTTCCGTGGCGTTTTATTCCGTCCGCAAGAAATCTCCCGCCATAAATTCTGCGCCGTATCCTCCGTGCGTGGTACCGGTCCCTCCGGGAGTATCTTTTCTTCGTTTTTTCTTTTTTTTGCTTGGGTTCCACTCGATTTATCGACATTACCTGCCCCTCGGGTCTGGGGCGTCCATCTGTGGGCCATCTCATTTTTGCCGTCCGCTCGCGAAATAGCGCGTAGCACGCGCGCGCGTTGAGAGATTCCGTCGATCCCTAAACAAGAGTAAATTCTACGAGAGAGGGTCTCGATATTGCTGTCGGGAACGCAAATTGAATTTGATAATCTAATACACACTTGCTTGTAACGTCGTTCTCTCTTCGATCCAACTGCCCGTCGCGCGCGACGAAACATTTTTCTCAGTCAATGTGAAATTTTTAAACGCGCAAGGCGCGTTTTCTTCCTTCCACGAAAGCTCTCGGCCGGATTTATTTCGAGCTCGAGGCCGGCAAAAAACGAGGGCGAGAAAGCGCAGTCAAACGCAACAAAAAAAAAAAAAAAAAAGGTTCGCACGACTCACTTTCGCGAGACGATCTCCCAAGAGATTTTCGAGCTTTATATTTTCGCAACTGAACTCTGTCTTTTTTGTGAACGCGACAGCTTCGCAAAGCCGGTAATCATCGCGTACGCGCACGATTTTATTTTCGTCCGACCGCGAACGCGCACGGAAAAACCGCGACCGCCACTTCTTGCGAAAGTGCATAAAGCCGCGCACGGTTCTTCCGTTCTTCACATATTTCAGATCTTGGCGCTGACCGATATTCAACGCAAAAGCGCGCAACAAGAATTTCCCGATACAATAAACGTGAAATATCGCGGCGTTTCGAGAGCAAATTGCGCTCTCGCTTCTCGACTTTCCATTTGCAGAAGATCCTTCCCGCAAGTCAATTCGCTTCTTCGCGGAAGTTAAATCGAGATCGTCGCGAGAGAGTCTGGGAATCGTTTTATTTGGTGCGAACGTCTGTTCGAAACTGCGTCGCACAGACTGCAAGCGCGACTCGGACGATCCTCGGACCGGATCTGATTTTCGCATTTCGCGCGAAATTAGAAAATGTGTCGATGTGATTTTTGCAGGACTGTCCGGGAGAACCGAAGGATTTTCGAACGGAGCAGTGCGCGGAGTTCAACAGCGTGCCCTTCGAGGGAGTGTATTACGAGTGAGTATCTGAGATGTGTAGCTGATATTAAATCCGTTGATTATCAAAACGCGCGCTCGAGTGGAAAGTTCGTCCGATTCTCGTGAAACGAGATTATCCCGACGGTGATTTACGATCGGCGCTCCATGTGGGACGTGAATGACGTGAGATTCTTTGCGGTCCGTGACATCACCTAATGATCGTATATACCTTCGCCCTGTAATCCGCGGCTTGAATCGCTCTTTAATGGGAGACGTCATATTTATAGGTAGTTTTCCTTCTACGTCGTGAATTGAGCAGTCAAACGAGATTCGAAAAAGAAACTCCCGAAGAAGAAACGGACTACGAACGCGATATCGCGACGCGGTCGTACAAACGTTTTAATTTATCGACAATAACGATCTTTTTATGAACGCGACCGTGTCGTCATTCGTCAAAATATCATTAAATTCAAAATACATTATATGTTATATTATATATGTATTATATATTTCAGAATATATTATATATTGCAAACGGAAGATAATTTCGAGAGATAATCAGCTGATCTACGCGCGCGTGATTTTGTCGATGACTTTCAAATTGCACATGATGTCTTATTTTTCGCAGTTGGATTCCGTACACCGGGAGTCCGAATAAGTGCGAGTTGAATTGCATGCCGCGTGGCGAGCGATTTTTCTACAGGCACAAAGTAGCCGTGATCGACGGCACTCCCTGCGAAGCTGAGAAGAACGATGTTTGCGTCAACGGCAAGTGTATGGTGAGTTGACGACTGTAAAGAATGCCGTAAATTTGTGTTAATTTTATCTTTAAATATTTTAAATAATATTTACATCGAACAAGACAGAGACATTATTTCAACAAAAATAAAATGGAAATTGCGGGTGGGAATATACAAGCGAAATTTCGAATCTTCTGATAAATTTTTGTTGGGGCCAGCACGTCGGGTGTGATATGCTGTTGGGTAGCGATGCCAGGGAAGACGCGTGCAGAGAATGCGGCGGCGATGACTCAGATTGCAATACCGTTACCGGTGTATTCGACACAGATGACCTGCAAGTGGGTGAGTTATTTTCTCTGATCAATAGTTATTACGCGAGATCGAATTGAGTTATGCAATCATTTTCGGTCGAGAAGAAAATTATTTCTGCGCGATATATATCGATCGATAAACAACTTTTCGCTGATCCGAAATAACAATTATCGGATACCTCTGCGTTATCAAATAACAATAATAGAGAGAAGTTGCGTTCCGCAGGTTACATCGATATTTTGCTCATCCCCGAGGGTGCGACGAACATCGCCATACGGGAACTGCACCCATCCAACAATTATCTCGGTAAAAAAAAATAAACCAAGTAAACCTTTGAAAAAACACGAACACAATTTGTTAAAAATTTTATTAATCTTAAAATCACAATTGTGATTTATTTTTTCAATAATTCTCCGAAAATTGTTGTTCAGCTATACGCAACACGTCGGGGCATTATTACCTGAACGGAAACTGGAGGATAGACTTTCCTCGCAGCTTGCGCTTCTCCGGCACGAATTTTCACTACGCGAGAGATCCTCAAGGTTTCGCAGCACCCGATACCATCAAGGCTTTGGGACCGACAAACGAGCCGATTTACGTCGTGGTCGGTATTTGATCGATTTTCATCAATGAAGCGTATCCGAAGTGCGAAGCGTATTAACGAGCGAGCTTTTTGTTCGCAGCTGCTGTATCAAGATCGCAACGTAGGCGTGCATTACGAGTACAGCATACCGAAGAAGTTCTCGTCGCGCGCGGATCCGGACAGCTACACTTGGGTAACCGACGAATTCTCCAGTTGCAGCGTCACTTGCGGCGGAGGTACACCATAGAATTTTTTTTTAACGAAATTAAGTCATCCGATTTTTTTTTTATCCTTTGTGATTGTTTTTATTAAATTTTTTCTATCACTTGTAAATGTTTTAAAAGATTCGTAAAGATTTTATTGAATAATTCAAAATTGATTGCGACACGTCGGCAAAATATTCGAAAATTTCAGAGCACTAATATCTATAATTAACTGATTATTTTTAATTAGTGGTTGTCGTTGAGAACGAATTATGACAAAGAGCAAATAGGCGTTACTGATCAGCTTTAACGGCAGACTGAATAGAAATTGATCATTCATCACCCATAAAGAGCCATTTTCCTCGGTCATTACTCTTGCCGTAACACTTGGATGTGTTCGGAGTGGGAGAAAGGGAGGGGAAAGAGCAGGTCCGTTCTACGCTCCATTTATCTTTTTAAGGCTTCCAATCGAGATGGGTGGGCTGCGTACGAAGGCGCGACAATGAGCGGGCGGATGAGAACCTGTGCGATCTGCACCTGGAACCAACTGGCACGCAAAGCTGCAACGAGGAGCCGTGCCCGCCCATGTGGGTGGAGGGCCCGTGGTCGTTCTGCAGCAAACAATGCGGCGAGGGGGGCGAGCAGACCAGAGAGATCAAGTGTGAGCAGATCGTCGCGGGCGGAATCGCTTCCGTAGTGGACGATTCCCAGTGTTTGGAAAATGTGGGACCGAAAGGGCTCACCAAACGGGAGTGCAACAGAGACGTGGATTGTCCTCAATGGCACGAGGGGCCCTGGAAACCCGTGAGTTACTGCGTTACTATTCTCATTGATTCTAAATTACGGATTTATGGATCTCTATTTCTTACGTGCCGCGTTACCCGCTCGATTTTTTATTTCTTAATCTTAAAAAACTTAAAAGTTTTCAAATTAATTTGGAAACTCTGTCAACATAAATTATGCAAACTGTGCAAATCCGCACACGGTATTTTAGTTTCACTGCGAAAAGCGAAAGATATGTTTCATAAGAAGTGAATGTTTTCGCTTAGTGCGATCACATATGCGGACCTGGAAAGCAAACCAGAACAGTCACGTGCTACAGAAAAGTGGAAGGCAAGATCCAAGTGTTGGAAGATGAGGCTTGCGAAACGGAAGCTCCCGAGCGTGAGAAAGATTGCGAGTTGAGACCTTGCGATGGTCTCGATTGGGTTACCTCGGATTGGAGCGGAGTAAGTTTCAAACAAGAATCTCTTTATTTAGATTTTCGCTCGACACTTTAAATGGGAAACGGAGATAGAATTTAACAATCTCTTTGTAAATAGTGCGAAGAGAAGTGCGATCTCACCAAAGAAACCAGAACTGCTCATTGCGCTACTCAGGACGGCACGGTTTATTCAGACGATCTTTGTGATGCAGACAAAAAGCCTGAATTAGAAAGAGAATGCGAGAAACCGAAAGATTGCGAGTTTCAATGGTTCGGCTCGCAATGGAGCGAGGTATAAAAAAAAATATATATATATTCTTTGTTTTATTTCTCTAATTATTGCTTTCAGATTAATTGATCGTAACTTGGTAGTAATATTTGTTTTATCGCAGTGTTCGGCAAAATGTGGATCCGGCGTTCAGACGCGCAAAGTGTTTTGCGGCACTTTCGGCGACGATAATGTGAAGAAGGTTCCGGACGAGAATTGCGATCCCGAAAAGAAGTTCGAAGATGCCAAGAATTGCACCGCTAAGGAGCCGTGCAAGGGCGAGTGGTTTGCGGGACCTTGGAGCGAGGTTTTTGTCTTTATATTCCGTAAAAAAAAATTTGTTAATTTTTAAGAGATATAATTTTTGGATTTAATAACATTTTGCTTACAATCGCAAAGAGATATAATTTTTTGTTCTTTCTCATATAACAATAACGCTTGGATTTTGCGTTAATATTTCAAAATCGAATTCACGCGCGCACGTTTTTTATAATCGGCAAAATTATTAATAAAATCTTCACAAAGTGTAATCAACAATGTTGTCAATCATGTTTGCAGTGTTTGGGGCCGTGTGGCCTCGGCTACATGAGCCGCAAGGTGATTTGCATGAAGGATAACAAGATGGTATCTTTAAGCGAGTGTAACCCCTACACCATTGTATTCTCTACTGAAAAGTGCAACACTCAACCTTGCGAAGAAGGTAAGAATGAAACAAATTAATCTACAATTTGTTTGTTTTTTTTTTCTCGCAAGGGGGTGCGTGATTTATATTATGACGTCATTATACCTCCTTCGTTATACTTCGCGAGTGTAAAATATTGAACGAGCTTGGAAACAGCGGGCGTGAAAATAATGAGGTTCGTGGTATTAAACTCAAATGTCTTTGCGCGCTTACCCGCGATCCTAAAGGGCAACAAACCACCTACCGTGAATGCAAGGAATATAACATCTTCCCTTTCCTTCCCGTTGCAGGGGAAATTAAGTTCTGACTCGGAAATTGAGTTCTAAAGCTAATCAAGAAACATAAAGCTCGTATAAAATATTTGCGCGCAATGTGCATAAAACCGAAATGTGTAAAAAAAAACAAAAACACTTTCTTTTCCGATATACAACGAGCTTAAATATTTAAAAAATTATGACTTATGTAAATCTGTTGGTTTTTTGTCACAAACATAATTTTTAGGCGTGACTCCGGCGGCAATTACTACTGAGTCGGATGACTTAGAGGAATGCGAAGACGAGGAAGAGGAAGGTCCCATTGAAGCGAGCCTCCCTGAGGTAAGTGAAACTGGGTCGTGTCGCATCTAATCGAATATCAAGCGCAACCGAGTTCTCTCGTAACTTCGTTTCTTATTGTTCCGTCCCAAAGAACTGTCTCGCACTCGAATCAAATCGACCTTGCCTTACGCGCGAAACGATCCGGTAATGCGATTCTCCTTCGATTTCGCAGAAACCGGACGGACTGGTGCGACAATTGCAGCAGCAGAGCGTCTTTTCTCGTTTCAGGAAGCGATAAGCAAACTAGAAGGAGAAACGGACGCGACGACCCCGAGCTCGGCGTTGTCCAAAAGTGACATTTACGACACCATGTTTAGCGATTCGACCAGAGGCGATATTTCGCCTTCCGATCTCGGCAGCGGTGAGGGCAGCGGCGACGACGAATTTACCGTGTACAGCACCGACTTCTTCAGCACCGGCGGCGATTCCACCGACAAAGAGGAGAGCGAAAGTCCGGCCAGTGGAATTACAACGGAAGGCAAAACCGGTACAACGGAGTTCGGCACAGAGGTAACCGAATCGTCGGATATCACAGGAATGACTGATGTAACATTCGAAGGATCTGGAAGTACCATTGAAGAAGGATCTGGCACAAGTCCAGAAGAAGATTCGAGCGCGTCTACAGATGCGTTCTCGGAAACTACGACGAAAGGAACCGAATCGTCGGCTGCATCTACGGAATCCGGCAGTAGGTTTTTGTCAATATATACTTTTACTATAAGGTTGGCGGATATTGTTTTAATTAAAATTTTGTGTTTTATTTATATTGTTTAGGTACTGAATCGGCGCCGACAGATTCTTCCGCAAGTACCGAATTAGTTAGTACCGAGGAAGGCGAGTCGACCGTCAGTGGAAGTTCGATACCGACGACGATCGGATCTAGCGACACAACAACCGGATCTAGTGACATCACAACCGATTCTAGTGACATCACAACCGATTCTAGCGATGTTACGACCGGTTCTAGCGACGTTACGACCGGTTCCAGCGACGTTACGACCGGTTCCAGTGACGTTACGACCGGTTCCAGTGACGTTACGACCGGTTCCAGTGACGTTACGACCGGTTCCAGTGACGTTACAACCGGTTCCAGTGACGTTACGACCGATTCCAGTGACGTTACCACCGGTTCCAGTGACATTACGACTGGTTCCAGTGACGTTACCACCGATTCTAGTGACGCGACGACTGATTCCAGCGATATAACAACCGATACGACCGAATCGGCTGGCACTACCGGTTCCACAGAGTCTACAGTCTCTTCCGCGACCGAGTCAACAGAATCCACTAATACGGAGACAACAGATACCACCGAGACGGTGACCACCGATTCAACACCGACTACCGATTCTACAGAATCAACCGATTCTACACAATCAACCGATTCTACACAATCAGCAGAATCTACAGAATCATCGCAAACCACATCTTCTTCGGAAGCAGAGACTACAGTGGCAGAAACAACTGGAAGCGATGAGACCACCGAATCCAGCACTTCGTCTGGTAAATATTGTTTGCTTATCTATATATATATATACTTTGACATTACTTTATATATATTTTATTTATTAGTCTCTGAACATTATTTTTTTAAATATTTAAACACTTTGCGAGTACATTTTACAATTTTTGAAACTAGTTTTGAATAAAAGAATTACAAAAATTTTTATACTCTATAAAAATAACAGCAACAACAGAGTTAACTGAACTAGAAGTGATGGGCGAGTCTGATTTGAAAGAACAGACTGGCACGACAGAGTCAGTAGACGAAACTTCAATATCAGGTTCCACTGAAAAAACTGAGTTCACTACAATAAGCGGCAGCACAGATGAAACCACCGTTTCCGGAACGAGTCCATCGGGTGAGACGGAAACTACAGGTAGCAAAGAAACCGAAACAACCGAATCGGGACAAACTACGGAATCTGGAGAGACGACTGAATCCGGCGCTAGCACGGAAGCGACCGAAACAACGGAATCCGGACTGACTAGCGAATCTACCGTAGCCGCGACCACTGAATCAGGTCAAACGACTGAATCTGCTGAAACTGCAACCACCGAGTCGGGCGAGACAACGGAATCTACTGAAGCCGCGACCACTGAATCAGGTCAAACAACTGAATCTGCTGAAACTGCAACGACCGAGTCGGGCGAGACAACGGAAACTACTGAAGCCGCGACCACTGAATCGGGTGAAACGACGGAATCGGGCGCGACAACAGAATCCGGCGAGACTACTGAGTCGGGACAAACCACAGAATCCGCCGAAACTACCGTTTCAGGCTCTACGGAGGCCACTGTATCAGGTGCCACGGAGACCACTGAATCAGGTGCCACGGAGACCACTGAATCAGGTGCCACGGAGACCACTGAATCAGGTGCCACGACAGAATCAGGTGAGACTACTGTGTCGGGTGAAACAACCGAGACGGAAGTTACGTCCTCCACGGTCAGCGGAGAAACCGAACTCACGGAAAAGACTCTCAGTAAGTTACTAATTTAAAATATTCTGTTTATTAATTTCTCTCGTCAAAACTTATTGTTAGTTTTAATTTAAAAAAAATTCTTATTAATTTCTTTTGCGTCAACTCAATTTTAGTCACAGAAATTTGGACAACCAGCTTCCCAGAAACGACGAAGAAGCGAATGTGCAAACCGAGAAAGAGCTGCAAGAAGACGCCATTCGGATGTTGTTACGACGGTATCACCGCCGCTCAGGGACCGTTTGGTCAAGGCTGTCCGACGCCACACACGTGTAACGAGACGAAATACGGTTGCTGTCCCGATGGCGTGTCACCAGCTACCGGTCCGAAGAACAAGGGATGTCCAGATTCGCGTTGTAACGAATCACTCTTCGGCTGCTGTCCCGACGGCGTTACCGCGGCACAGGGCAACGATTACGAGGGATGCAAGAAACCTTGCGAAGAATCAGAGTTAGTTTCTTCATATTTTTGCGTCGTAACATAAAATTTCTCTTAATATAAATTTAGTGACTCTCGATCACGTTTATAAATTATATAATTAATTCACAGATTCGGATGTTGTCCAGACAACGAAACCGCAGCCAGCGGAAAGAATAATCTGGGATGTTGTAACATCACCGAGTTTGGTTGTTGTCCGGACAATATCAAAGCCGCTTCCGGTCCTGATGGCGAAGGTATAGATTATTTCATTTAATAAACGCTTGCGATATGTTATGTGTTTATAGCAAACAACACATTTTCGAACGGTTCGAATAGTAAATGTGTTATTTGCACAAGGTTGCGAGGAGGAAGTCACTTCAGAATCGTACGAAACAACAACGTTACTTTTCCCGCGCGAAGATTGCGCTAACACCACTTACGGTTGCTGTCCCGACGGCGTCACCACCGCAAACGGCACGAACTTTGAGGGATGCGGTGTCATCAATACCAAAAACTGCACCATATCCTACTTTGGATGCTGTCCTGACGGAGTTTCAGCAGGTAATTGTTAAATATTGCGCTTTCTTAAATCGCAGTTTACTTGTTCTATTCTTTATACATATATTTTATAAATATTTTATAATTTTATTCCATTATTTGTTTCTCATAGCTCTCGGACCGGACAATTATGGCTGTCGCATGCCGTGTCACGACAGCGCTTACGGATGCTGCGAGGATGGCGTAACGCCCGCTCACGGTCCGAACAAGGAGGGCTGCTGCTTATCGACTCCCTACAAATGCTGTCCGGACAACATTCTACCGGCACGTGGACCAAACTTCTACGGCTGCGGTTGCCAGTACTCGAGATTCGGCTGTTGTCCCGATAATTCAACGGCGGCGCGTGGACCAAACAACGAAGGATGCGGTTGTCAATACACACCTCACGGCTGCTGTCCGAATCGATTTACACCTGCAAGCGGACCCAATTTCGAGGGATGTCCGTGCTACACTTATCAGTTTGGATGCTGTCCCGACGGTGTTACCATTGCCAAAGGCTCTCACGGTCAAGGTAATTGCATAATTAGTTTTATAAAATTGATGCGATTTTATAAGAATATTTTTCATTGTTTGTTTACAGGCTGCGGATGCGAGAACACGCAATATAAGTGCTGTTCGGATGGCAGGACTCCGGCCAAGGGACCGAACTTCGCCGGATGCACTTGCGACGCGTCGAAGTTTGGATGTTGTTTGGATGGAATAGAGGAAGCTCAAGGCGAGAATTTCGAGGGTTGTCTCAAGGTGCCATCGATGCCTGGCGCTGCTTGCGGTTTGAAAAGGGACAGAGGCACTTGCCGGGACTTCACGGTCAAATGGTATTACGACACCGATTACGGCGGTTGCTCGAGATTCTGGTACGGAGGCTGCGAGGGTAACGAGAACCGATTCAAAACGCAGGAAGAGTGCAAAGAAGTTTGCGTTAATCCGAAAGGAAAAGGTAAAGTGAAAAAATATCTTTCCGAAGCAACTTGTTTAATTTAAATTCTGTATGTATTTTTTATAAACAAACTAATATGTAATTTAAGATATTTTGTAATATCGTATCAGAACAACGATCTTCCGATTTCTTTTTGTAGCCGCTTGCTTCCTACCGAAGATCGCCGGTCCTTGCGAAGGATATCATCCGACATGGTATTACGACGCTGGCAGAAAACAGTGCGGACAATTCATTTACGGCGGTTGTCTCGGTAATGATAATAAGTTCAAAACTAGAGAAGAATGCGAAGAACTCTGCGTCACTCCGGACGACGTCGGTAAGAAATTCTGTGAAATTTTTAAATTACAACATTAATTTAATTTGGATTTTTATTCTACAATAAAAAAAACAAAATTGCACTCGGGATTCGCAGAATTCGCTATTCAGTTTTTTATATTTTATAGATCCTTGTTCTCAGTCGAAGGAAGTAGGTCCTTGCGAAGGCAACTTCACAAGGTGGTACTTCAACCGAGAATCGCAGACTTGCGAGCAGTTTATATACGGTGGTTGTAAAGCGAACGAGAACAACTTCCCGACGGAAATTGCTTGTCATCAGCAATGCTTACAACCAGGTCGAAGGAAAGGTATGTACTTCTTTTATTCTTGCTGCTCTTTTAGATGGTGTGCCTTAAAATTAAATAGTGTTACGTATTTTAGAGAAATATATAAATTTTTTAATATTTTTAATTTGGTCCATTTCAAGTACACTTTAGGTACTTTTTATCTGCACGATATTAGAAAATGCTATTCGAAATGAGTTGCTCTATCGATTTTCATTAAACATTTATGACAGAGAAAAATTACAGTAATAAACTGTTTAATACAGTAATATCTACATCAAAATATATTAGTAACACAGAATACTTTTTGAAATTGTGTGGAATGCGCTGGTAGTGATTTCTATCGATTTAATACTCGTGATGTGTGTGTGTGAGAGTGTGTGTGTGTGTGTGTGTGTAGTGTGTAATAACTAATTTAACAAATAAATATAATGAAAGTCAGTATCAACTTTAACAATTTATAAAAATGATGTGAGCCTGTATGATCATGTTCTGTCAAATGTTCTATCTTTTTCTTTTTCTATCTCTCTCTGTAGATCTAATATAAATTTATTAAACTTACCTCTCTTTATCTAATATAAGTTTGTTAAACTTATAAAGAGAAGAAACACACATACATAATAAGGTTTTAAAGAGAGAAATCAAACACAGAGGATTAAATAACACCTCACGACGTCTTAAAAATTCAGTAAGAAATTTACTTCGTTCCGATTAAAAAAAATCTTCCATAATTGGCTCTGTATATTAAACGGGAAATGTATATAGTTTTATCGGCGTCGAGTTTGATTGGCAGTAAGAGCGTGATGAAGTAATTCGAAACTCCTCTTGCAACCGATATTAGTTCTAAACGTCAGTTACGAGGATCGACACGCCCGCATAGTGATGGACGAACTTTTGCAGTAAAACTGTCTGATGTGTGCACCATGAAGAAAGATCCCGGACCATGTCCGGGCTCGGCGTTGCGCTGGTATTACGATGCCGAGCGTGGCACTTGTAGACAGTTTGTTTACGGTGGTTGTAAAGGCAACGCCAATAAATTCCGTAGTCTAGCTGCTTGCCAGCATCGTTGCCCATCAACAGGTATACTTAACAACAAAAAAAAAGAAAAAATTTTGCTTTGCAGTAACATCACGCAATGAATCTGAAAAAAAAAGAACTCGATATATCGCTCGACTCGACTTCGGGAAAGCGATGTTTTTTTTTTTTTTTTCTATAGCACAGATTTTGCCAGGTGTTGGTGGAAAAGAAGCACACATTGCAACACGGTCGTTTCAACAATAATTCGAAACAATAGAATATATTAGTTTTCACAGATGTTTTGCAAAAGCCACGCTTTTTCACTTGCGCACACATCCCCTTCTAATGCACAATTCTAAAAATTTAGTTAAAATACAAGAATATAAAATCGAATTTCGCAATTTTTATTAATATTCCTTTCAACAAGATTTTTTATGAAGTCATAAAGTTAAGTTTAGTCAGTTAAAAATGTATCAAGGCAGTTTTAACACGTTTTCGATTAGATCATTTATTAATGCGTGATGACGGTGATGGGATAAAAGTTATAAATGTAGGTTTCACGATTACTTCTTTATTTTAATCAAACGTGCATTATTACTTGCTGTGGTAGTATATAGACGAGCTGTGTTTGACTAATAATACAAAATAATGAGTTTCAAGTTAGAAATATTTCAAGCAACTGGGACGGAGTCGATTAATCAAATCTAACTTTGCATGATGTGATCATTAATGCGATTAACAGATCTTTGCACGTTGCCGCGGGCGGAGGGTACATGCGCGGAGAAGCAATCTCGATGGTACTTTGATCAATCGGAGAATCGCTGCATGCCATTCTATTACACTGGTTGTGGTGGCAATAAAAATAACTTTGAATCTAGAGACGCATGCGAGTCTGATTGCCCGCCTAAGATCGGTAAGGATTTCACATCTTTCTGACATCTTTTCCGTACAATATCTTCTTTCAGGCACTTTTGACTTTAGAAACGGTATTCTTTCGCATCTCTGTATCACTTTAATAACAAATCTATCTTTTCTATGGGATCGTATGGTGCATGACAAAGAGTTAATTAGAAAAAAAATTATATTTTATATTTTGTCTACGTTATGTCACGTACATGACACATTTGTTTGCATGCGAATCTTTTTAATACAAAAAAACTATTCGAACATTTGGGTCGATCTTTCAAATCACCTCTCTCTGGTAATAATTTACTATTTTTTTATTTTTCTGATTTTTTACACATTGTTGCTGGAAGTGTCCGTTTCTTTTTTTTTTTTTTTTCAATTACTGAACTTTGATCATTACAATTAACCGCAAGACTCTTCGGAGAGTTGCAATGTCCCAAATTCAATTTCTGAATTCGCGAACACAGAACAAGACACCTGTCTGCTGCCCGCTCTCCTGGGAGAGTGTCACGATTACACTCAGCGTTGGTACTACGACTCCTATGAGCAGCATTGCCGGCAATTCTATTACGGCGGATGCGGCGGAAACGAGAACAACTTCTTGACCGAGACGGACTGCGTCAACAGGTGCGAAACGGCCGTCACCACGCCGCCTCCGCCGGGAGGGGAAGTCGAGTTCCAACCAGGTAATTTTCCATTCGGCTTCAGAGATTGTTAGCTACTACTGTTCTCGCAAGTAACGAGATATATACTTTACGCTGAATATTCCATCCCAGAATTCTGTTACCGGCCCGACGAACATGGCCCGTGCTCCGAGAATCAAGTCAAGTGGTTCTATGACAGTCGCGACGGCGTTTGCAAGCAGTTCCGCTACGGCGGTTGTCAGAGCAACGGCAACAACTTCAACACTCGCGAGGAGTGCGAGTATCGCTGCGGCGAGATTCAAAGTACGTGTATGATTTACAAAATCAAGAGGCATGATAGTGCCTCGCGCCGAGTTCACGCGCGCAATGAAGTGTCTTTTTTTATTTCCCTTCCTGTCATAAAAGCAAGATTTGTAAACAGACATGGCACATAATTAAAGTCCGACGGTCACGAAACGCACGAATCGCAAGCCAATGTGCCGGCATCTCTCGTAACATCATGTCGTACACACATTCCAACTTTATAAAGATTTCTCGTGGCGTTGACGCGCGCGCTTGCGCGTCTGTACTACCTATGTGCTGTATATTTGCGTATCTACGCATCGCGCGACTTGCGCACGTGCGTATCGAATCGCATGAGCGAGAAAAACGCTGCAATTAAATTTATAAGTTAACAGCCGCGTAATTAGATGCAAAGATAACGTATTGCATGATGCGTTGTCAGTTTTTACTCTTTGTGTGAATTTCTTTTGTATGCTTTTTTGAGAAGTCTGCGATTTTTTTTTTTTTTTAGAAAAAAGCGTACCTCTTATATCGTAAAATAACATGACTCTCGTTACGAAAAATCTCATAACGCTGGTTTCGCAATCGAAGGGGTGAAAATCGATTGGAAAAAAAGAGAGAAACTCCGGATACTGTCGCCTCCGACGTACATCTGCAGAAGCAATGTAAAACGATGTAAGAGGATTAAAACGCTCAGTCGATTGGCTCTTATCATATCGGTTCTGTTCGGGTTGTAAATCTATAAAGCTATTGATTGATCAATCACGCGGCACCATGGACGCGCGACTCGCTTTAACGATCGTTCTGTGAATCTGCGTGCTTATAGAAAATTTATAACAACGAAGCTCAGCTATACTCATGCAATACTAATCAACTATCGCTATTGGAGTCTCCTATTCTAATGCTAACCGAATGATTAATTAGCATTTCTGATGATTGTCTTTAATTGACGGTGAAGTGAATTAGAGTCGAGGGACTAGGTCGGAGAACAGCGCATTTCGATATATTAACACGCAACACATCACACGGACACATTTGTGTCACGTCGGGGAAAGGCAAAGGTGGCGAGTCGCTCGCATACGCGTGTACTTTCTTTCGCCCTGTAAAAGCCGTGCTCTCGCGCGAGAAGTAACCGGAATAGAAACCGAAACGCGCAACCCATTCTCGTGGCCCAGTTATAGACGTCCGCGTAAAGTCGAGGCTGGTTAGAGATCGTAAAGTAGCGTGATGTCGGACCGACTGGCATGCTACAGAAAAATCATAAACTCGATTCGTCGAAAGATGAGGGATCGTCTTGTCTATTAAGTCGATTGGTTGTTGACTTTCGTGTGTATTCGGTTTTTTGTTCGCACATCTACAACGCGAGCCTCTCCAACTTTGTTGCTGCGCGCGATGCTTCGATTATTACCGATAATTCATACAGATAAAAAATGTTAACATACGTGAAAAACATTATTAAAACCATTTTTCAGACCCTTGCGCGCTACCGAAGGTTGTCGGTCCTTGCAGCGGTTCCGTGAGCCAATTCTACTACGATCACAATAACGATTCCTGTTACGAGTTCGAATACAGCGGTTGTCAAGGCAACAAGAATCGCTTTCAGGATAAAGAATCTTGCGAAAGTAAGTGCAGACGGCAGCCGCCGGTCGTTACACCGCCGACCACGCCGGTCGTTATCACGCAGTTGCCTGAAGAATCAAAGAGTCCGATCTGTTTGGCGCCGGTGGATCCTGGCGAATGTAACAGCTCCATCACCGCGTATTATTATGACGCGCCGCATCAGACGTGTCAAGCGTTTATTTACGGCGGCTGTGGCGGAAACGCGAACCGATTCCAAACCGAGGAACAGTGCGAACGGCTGTGCGGCAAATTCCACAAACAAGGTGAGTCCTTCCGTTGTCAGTTTATTTATAAAGAATTGAAATAATTTTAACAAATATCTTACAATATTTGATTCAAACAATTTTTTTTCATAGCGCGTTTAAAAATTTATTTACGACGTAAGTTATTTTTATTTATTTTGAATTTATAGAACAAACTTGATTTTAGAACAAAAAAACTTCTTTGAAAAACAAACTTAATCGATTGTGACAACTGAAATTATGAAAATAATGATTTAATATCAGATTTGTGCAACATACGCGTCGATCCCGGCCAATGCAGAGGTAGTTTTCACAAATTTTATTACGATCCGAGCTTGCGTGCTTGTCGCGAATTTATATACGGCGGATGCGACGGTAACGCGAACAGATTCAGCACAATCGACGAGTGCGAGTCCGTCTGCATACATCACGAAGAACCCGCGCCTACCGGAAACCAAACTAGCCTTCCAAATCAATACAAATGTACGTACACATTTTCCTACTTGACTTTTTATCATTTTGTAGATAAGAAAATCTCTTACAAATATCAATCAATTTTCGTGATTACGACACAGTCTTAATGGTGATGATAAAAAGTCGAGTAACAGTCTTAATGATGATGATATTAGCGATCTGTAGCGAACCGGTCGACATCGGATCCTGCACGTCAGGCAGCAGCAAACGATTCTACTTCGACGAGGAATATCAAACATGTCGAGCGTTTATTTACACCGGATGCGGTGGCAATCGCAACAGATTCAAGACCTTCGAATCTTGCATTAACACTTGTCTTAGGAGTAAGTTCAGGACGCGAGATCATAAAGGAGCGCTTTTTTATTCTTTTTTTGTATACGTTTTACGCAGATTCATCTTTATTTTGCAGTGTACAGCAATCGTCCTCTCTGTGCCATACTTTTCAACTATTTTATGTCAGTTTATATGCTTTTATCGCGCAAGTGTTCGTCTACATTCTCAAATGCTTTATTTTTTATATGTGTCATAGAAAAGTGCGCTTATATATCTGCAATTCTATGTGCGTATCAATCACGTTTACGCGTGTAGCATTTTACTAGATATAATTTGTTAAATTTGCAATTCAAATGCAGTTATGCTATTTCTATTGTTTCAATATTCACAAATTTTATAAGTAAATAATAACATGTTTTAAAAGCTTTTTTATATGTATATACGTAATTTTGGCTACTGAACACGTGAATAAAGAAATACTTTATATAATTTTTTTTTTTTATGAAACTTTAGTTTCTTGTACAAAAATTTTTATTGCATTGCTTACTTTTCTTTCGTCAATGTAAATGCAGTGTGTCGTTCATTATGTACATAGCAACACAAATGTGTCGACAGCTTTCCATCTCTGTGTCAAAGTTCTCGTTGCTTGAGAAAACACAACGTTCCCAGATTTTTTAACGCGTGATCATATTACAGCTAATATTAACGAGATTGACGTGGACACAGAGGATCCGAAGGACAAATGCGCGGAAGTTAAGCAGGAGTGCGCTCAAATTCACTGTCCGTACGGCATGGAGCAATTTGTGGACTCGCAGGATTGCGAACGCTGCAGATGCGTTGATCTTTGCAGGAGACAGAGCTGTCCTGATGGAACTACATGCACCATTACGCTTGTGCAAGAGGAAACGGAAGATAAATACAAAGCCGTTTGTCGACCAAGTAAGTTGTTAGCGCAAAAACAAAATAAATATCATGGAATATTTTTTTTAGGAACTTCAGTTATTTTTGTTGTACACTTGCGAACACTTTTATTTAATCTGTTCTTCATTTTTTTTAAATATTTATAATTTGAGACAACACAGTGAGTTCTATCAATAGCATTTGTCACTTGCCGAGTAATTAGAAACTAAAATCGCATCGTTCTCTCGCAGAAGACAAACCCGGTCGATGTCCGAAAGTGTCTCACAGCACGAGATGCGAGCAGGAGTGCGTCACGGACGCAGATTGTTCCGGTGATCGCAAATGCTGCGACAGCGGCTGCGCCACTTCCTGTCTGGAACCCGCGCCGGAAGAACCGCTCACAACGACTTATCGCCCTGTAACTACGCCGCAATACGGTGGCGAACCCGCGAAGATTCAACAACCCGAGGAACCGCGTGTCAGCGCGCAAGAAGGCAATCGCGTCACGCTGAAATGCGTCGCGATAGGAATTCCGAAACCAACCATCACGTGGAGAAAGGACACCACATTGGTAATTTATATGTTTTCACACCTGTGAATTCACCTGTAATCTTAAAAGTATTTTATCGTGACAAAAACTGAAGCGTTTTGATTGTTGTTGAAATATAAAATATTGTCCGATCATATTTTAGATCGGACCTGCCGAGCCGAGGCGGCGTATACAACTCGACGGGTCTCTTCAGATTATCAATTTATATACTTACGACAGGGGAACTTACGTCTGCACCGCTGACAATGGCTTAGGACCACCGGTAAGAGCGGAGTATCAATTGGAAATCACAGGTACGTGAGAGACTTTCCTGACTGATCTTGCAAAAAAGGAATGGAATCTTCTATTTATAATTTTAGAATTAACGGATTGTTAGATGGTAGTGGACTTTTTGCACCGATTCTGTTGTGATTGTCTTTTCTCTATTTGGTGACGTGTAAAAAACGCATGAGAATTTCTCAAACTGAACATATAACATAAATCTTTCGTCTCATATTTAAAGTTACTCTGTTCATTAAATTATACATATCGCGATCTTGGTTGGATGCATTGTGATTGTTGTGAAAAAAAAAAAACACTTCAGAATATCTTCTGGCATTATCAAACTGGATATCGGTTAACTTTCCTGGCGACGGTATGACCTAACACCTTTCTTGTCTCTAAGCGTCGCGCATGCTCCTCTTCTGCACTATGTAGAACCAAACGATCTTCCCGTCGGCATCATCGGTGAGTCCAACACTCGCGTAACGGTGACGATGAACTCGCCGATATCTCTACATTGTTACGCCATGGGATGGCCGCGACCGCAGATCACTTGGTGGCACGGCGATCGATTGTTGCCTCTGGTCTCCGACGAATACGAGCAGGACACTGACTATACTCTGCTGATACGTTCGGTAACACTGTCCAATCTCGGTGTTTACACCTGCCAAGCGTTCAACGGTATCGGAAGACCGGCGTCCTGGTCGCTTACTCTGCAGGCGATCGGACCCGTCTACAACGTCAAACCCGAACAGCAAGAGTACACCAAATACCTCGTTCAACCCCCGAAAAGACCCACCACTGAGAAGCCTCAGTATCCTTACAGACCGACCAGAACGCAAATTCCCGAGACGCAGACTTACGCTCCCATTTATCCCATCAGACCGTCTCGCATCCCTCAAGTTATTCCTCTCGAAACCACCACATTCAGACCTGACACCGCTAGATTCAAAGGTGAGAGAATCACTGTGTGCGCATTTTCAAGGTTGCGCCGATCATTGTGTCAAGCTCCGTTGTTTCGAATTCGAGACATTTCATTATTGTTTTTATACGATTTGCGTATCTAAATATTTTATGGTTTTTATTGTATTGATTACAATGGTGGCGCAACAACGCGTAATCTTCTTTTTGCATGCGTATCTACTACTTCAATTCGCATCCTTACTGCTTGTGGCTGTCTTACCATAACTCGCTTGTTGGCGCTGTTTAAAGTATATATTAACCAATTTAAAACACAACTATTCTCAGAAAATAAATGTGTATAAAAGTATATTTGAAACAAAAATTTTATATTTTTTTTATTTAATTTGTTTTTTATTTCGAAAGTTTTGAAATAAAATGGTTTGTAAACAAACTCGATTTGCACGCAGTGCCGGTTAAAGTCAACGTATCGCTCGAACAGTCGCAGTTCCCCGAAGGTAGCGACATAAATATTCCTTGCACTGTGGACGGTTATCCAATTCCGCGTGTACTCTGGTACAAGAACGACGAACTGATTCGACCGGATAATCGGATCAAGATTTCGGGTAAGATCGTCGAGAAATAAGCGCTTATTCAACACTATTTTTATGAAGATTACACGATGAAACTGCGCGGCGTTTGATAATAAATTATAAATTGTACATGCTTCTTCTTTCAAGAACTCAATCGACTTATCATCAGCGATGCAAATCGCGAGGACTCTGGCCGATATCGATGCGAAGCGACTAACGAATACTCCTCAGATTCCGATAGCATTGATATACGCGTAGCCGGTGAGTTGTGTCAACATTTTTCTACGTTAATGTATTCGTAAATATTTAATGTATTTGAAATGTTTTTAATTATTCGCACGCACACATATGTGTGTTCCGCTTTGTTTATAATCATCAATTCTCGCTCCATTTTACTTTTCTAGGAATCTTCATACATCCCCATTGCCAGGACAACACGTTCTTCGCTAACTGCAAGCTGATCGTAGAGGCCAAGTATTGCACGCACAAGTACTACGCGAAGTTCTGTTGCCGGTCGTGCACAGAAGCCGGTCAGTTGCCGTCAAAAGGACCGCATCTCGACAACTCGAGAAGAAAAAGAAGATCCATGTTTCTGCGAACGCTCGTCTAAGATGTCAAATCGACTCTTCGGCTATTTCCGACACACACCAACACACATACGTGACCCTGAATTCGTGACCGGCGGGATTCGCGATGGGAAGAAGACGAAGGGGAACGAAGAAGTCACGCGCGCTTCCTCTCCCTTTTCCCCTCTGACCGGACGTGCCGAATACTCGACTTGTTAACTCACTGCCAAAGCCTTAGAGCGTTTATACATAGATATATATATATATAATATATGTATACATATATGATAATCCATCTAAGTTCGCGAGATCGACGATCGCGCTTCGGAGGCTTGGCGCTTCGATCTCGCTTCTCACGAAGTCTCCTCTTATCCATGTATATACGATCTGACGCTGAATCCTAGTCCGACGGAGCCATATTAGGCGAGTTAATTAACTTGTTTTTTTTTAAGAGAAAAAACCTCTTTCTTCTCGGTGAAAAGTGTGTCGCGACCGCGCGTATCTCTCGGACAACATCCCGAGGATGATCATCAGTGTCGGCAGACTATCCGAGCGCGCCGTAGCTCTGCGGATCGTGTTGTCGAGTCCGCGAGAAATTGATTCTTTAGATTACTCTCTCTACACATGATAATTATACATAATTAATTTTATGCCGCTAAACCAAGTAACTTATCAAGCAACCAAGGTACACCCGCACGATTCGGAGAACACGATCCCTTCAATGAAGTCTCGATCGATAAGCGACGATAAGCGTGGCCATTTTTTTTTTCTCATGCATCATGGTGCCAGTCAGTAAATACGCGCGCGATGAAAACGACGCGCGTGCGAAAAAAATGTTTGCGCGTGAGAAATATCGTAAGTTTTAGGCAGGGAATTTTATCGTATCCCGATGAGTCTGAAAGGACACACACTGTGCTGCGTGACTAAAAAAACGAACTTGTACCTACTTGTATTAAGCATATACGCACGTTACGTTGTACAATATAAATAGTTTATTACGCAATATACCATTTATACTCCTATGGTATTGTTAGTACTTGTTTCTTATGGATATTCGCATATAAATATATATTATACGTATTGACATAACGCGCGCCGCCGCGTATGAATTCTTTCATGTGTCATTCTTCAAGAAAACTGCGTGATAAAATTTATATTTTCCTTTTTGTAGCAGTATAAACATCTTTATAATAAATAGTATATACTAATTAAATCTCTTTGCGCGAACGGTTATTAAACTCTCGTCTTTGTTACTTTTATTACAGGAATATTAACTTTTTTCTTATTTACGCGAGCGGCGCGTTGCATCTCTCACTGTTACATGTCGTTGGTGTATGTGTACAGTCGGTTTTTCTACCATATCTATACGATACGATCAGTTATCGCATTCGTGTTATCGCAGACCTGTTGCATTCAACGTTTGTTCCTCAAGCATTTTAATAGTAATCATTACTTACGTACTCTATTTACTAACGTATCGTCATTCATGATATATCGAGTAGAAATGTAGCAATTGTAGTCGACGATTAGAAAAATGTAGAACGGAAAGAAGGTACCAAAACGCATTTATATACATACACACTTACACACACGTACACGCGCTCGCACACACACACACACACACACTCACACATACACACATACATACACCGTAAGTGTAAGTCGTGAGAGATTGTTACCGATCGGAATCGACGTATCGCGAGCTGTAGGACGACTTTTGATTGTTCCGTACTTGCACCGATTCAGTCGCAGTAAAAAAAAAAAAAAACGCAGTGCCTTATTAGATGACCTGTGTAAGAGAATTGGGGAAAGAGTGCTGAATATACACGACGTCTTGTTAGTGTAAATAGTTACCGTAATATCGCTCCTGTTATTTATTTCCAAAACATTGTGTAGTAGAGATTTAGATCCAAAGAATTTACGTACACAATCGATATCAAAATTCAAGCGTGAAACTAACAATAAAAAACAAAAATATCCGACGAAGTTATTAAGTACTCTTCTCCTCTGTGCTCCAGTAGATTACGACCAAGAGACATGTAAAATCGTTATATAGCGACACAAAAACTGTACTACGTAGCGCGTAGTGTGATCCGTGTGTTTAATTTTTTAATTAACGATCTAGCATAGGCAGAGTCGACGTTGATCAGCTGTTCCCGCGAAGTTGAAAGTTAGTTGCTGTCGAAAGAGAAGGCGAAGAAAGCAAAGATGAATAAAATCGCGTTAAAAGTAAAAAAAAAAAAAAATCTATATATAAGGCACATTCTGGACGTGCGTGTTAGTTCGTTCTACTGTAAACTTGATTATTTGTGAAACAAAGACGTCGTCGCGTCACGTGTAGATGTATATATAATTTGTATTGCGATTTTATAGTATTGTCGTGTTTTCCAATTACACACACACACACACACACACACAAACACAAACACACACGCACACATATCCCGACCGGATACGGCACATCCTTGTACAGCAATCATCGATGTCCGTAGGTACGAGCGTAGCGCGTCTCGCAGCTCACGTTTAATCAATGTGAATCTCATTTAAACACGAACAAAAAACAAACCTGAGACCGCGAATAAATTTCGCGGAATTTCTCGTGGAATTTTTTTGCTGGAACTTACCTCGCGCTTAACAACGTCGACTAATCGATAATGATCTGCTGTCTTCCTCTTACCGACAAAGATCGTGTCGCATTTTCTATATATCTGTACGACGAATTCGATTGGATGCACCAGTGCGCACTGAGTGCGTACTCTTTCAATGTGTAGTAAAATACTAACAATGAAATATTCTACTACACATTGAAAGAAGATGCGCTCGGTGCGCACTACAGCATCCAATCGAATTCGTCGTGAGACGCAGCGCTGACATTTTATCGATACTACGGGTCTCGACACGAAGAGAGCTGACCTTCTTTGTAGCAGAAAATTGCCAAAAAGAAAACAAAAGAGAGAGGAAAAAAGAAAGAGAAAAGGGGCAGAACTAAGGAACCACAATTCATATCCCTCACGCATAATTATATCGATAGAAGTTTAGCTCTTCACGACAGTGCTATACCGTAAAGAAAAAGTCTTTAGTGGATGTAATTGTAACTCTCTATAAGTACCTTATAAGTAATAATTAATATATATATATATATATATATATACATATACATATACATATACATATATATATATATAATTTTAAAATAAAAGGTAAAGATATAACTGAAAATGCCACTTTACAATTATTGTATGGACAATAATAATAATATAAGATCCTTAAATATACGATTACACGATCAGCAGGATTATTATTTTGCGTTAGTAGAAAAAACCAATTTGCTCTTCACGCAACCAGTCTCAACTGTTTTTTAATTACTCGCCAGTGTCTACTTCAAAATATTAATTTAATAACACTTTAACATTATCTCGTACCAATTTGTTTTAAGAATAATAATAATCTAATTTATTTTACTAACCTTAATGTACCGTACAATTACACAATATATGAGTTTCGTCAGGTTTACATCCCCGATATGACAACGCAGATTATGAGAATTTATTCTAATTCTCTGTTGTAGTTGTTGTTTTGCCTCGGGAAGGTAACGTTTATACTGTTCCTCAATTAAGAGTGTGATTTCTATGCGTTCACTGGCGATGCGTTTGATCTTCGCGAACAATTCGCTGTGCACGTCTACGCACTGACGAAAGTTCTTACGATCGAGTTAATACACATCGCAGACGTCGACTGCGATGACCTGGCTATTCTACGATGATCCGCCACTCAAAACGTGATTTTGCCAAAATCAGCGCCGGTTTTGAAGTGGCAGATCTGAGAAGAAAAATTTTTCAATTTTTGTTTGTTAAATTTTAATCAACAACTATTTAAACAACCTTTTTCCCAGTTTGCGTCAAAATCGAGATAATTTTGTAAAGGAAAGAGAACGGCACCAACTGAGGTTTCAACACCCGCGAAGAATTGGAGTATCGCTGCGGTAAGATTAAAGGTACGTGTATGATTTACAAAGTCAAAATGCCAGGTAGTATCTCGCGTCAAGTTCACGCGCAACAAAGTGTCTTTTTTTTATCTCTCCTCTTCTCATAAAAGCGAGATGTGTATTAAACCTTGTTTAAGCGGACAATAACTGTTTTCTTATGCTAGAACTGGTAAAGTTCAACTATAGAATATCAATGTTTCTGTTTATACAAAATTGCCAAATGCGTATAAACAGAAGTATTAAAAGCTTAAAGTTTAACTTTACCGGTTCCAGCATAAGTTATTGCCCGCATAAACAAAACTTTAAAAAAACACGGCACATAATTAATGTTCGACGGTCACGAAAAACACGAATTGCAACACCAATGTGCCGGAATCTTTCGTGTACACATTCCAATTTTAAAAAGAATTCTTGTGGCGTTAGCGCGCGTGCGTGCGCGTCTACATTACATGCGTGTATGTCGCGCGCCGCAACATATCGCGCGCTTGCGCACGCGCGTATCAAACGAAAAAAGAAGTACAATTAACTTTGTACATTACAGCCGCGTAATTAGATAACGTATTGTATAATGGCGTTGCCAATTTTTACGCTTTATGTAAATTTCTTTTGTGTGCTCCTTTGAACGGTCTGCGATTTTTTTTTTTAAGACGCGTAATCGTGTAACTCTCATATATCGTAAAATAAAATAACTCTCGTTACGGAAAATTATAACACTGCTCATGCAAATCAAAGGCGTGAAAATCGATTGGTAAGAAAAAGAGAAACTTCGGATACAGTCGCCCTCGACGTACTTCTGCAGAAGCAATGTAAACCGATGTAAGAAAACTAAAAGCCACAGTCGATTGGACCCCATTATCGGTTTAGTACAAGTTGTAACTACATAAAGCCATTGATCAATCACGCGGCATCATATAGACGCGCGACTCATCTTAACGATCGTTCCGCGAGTCTGTGTGTTTATAGAAAATTTTTAACTACGAAGCCCAGCTGTACTTATACAATACTAATACTATAATCAAGTCCCGTTATATTAAAGTCTTCTACGTTAGTGGTATCCGAATGATTACTTAGCACTTCTGATGAATGGTCACCTAAATTCATGGTGATGTAAATTACTGACTTAATTAGTTTTCGCACAAGAAAATTTCTATTTACGTGCACATGTTCAATACATATCTCTTGTTTGTTGGATAACAATCAGACGAAGAAACTAATTGACTTTAAACAATTAGTTAAAGACAAACAATAAATTGTTCGCAGAATTTTCACTGAGCATTGTACAAGTATTCGGTAATATGTTTTGCCATAAAATAATGTGACACAAAGATGTCAGATGCAATTTATTTACAAACATTTACTAGATACAATATTATACTGTTGGAACAACATGTATAAACATTAAAGAGAAAGCAAGATATACTGTTAATATGTTGTGTACAAAAAACACGCAATGTTTTACTGATGCAAAGATTATGTTTATTTCTTTTTATATAGATCCAAATGTATTGTGTGCACACATGTTATAATTATAAACCGGTAAGATATATTACACATCACATTTTGCATAGATCTTGTTATATTGCTGGCACACTTTATCATATATTTAAAATCTAGATGACAAAATATTTGTTTAATGTTATTATCTAATATAAACAAATGCTTACTTGTTTTATTCTCATAAAATATTTATATACTTACATCACAAAGTCTTTCGTACCAAAGGTGAAGCTAAACAATAAAATAATATTTGTTTAATGTTACTATCAAGCAAGCTCGTATGTATTTTATTCTCATACAGTATCTATATACTCACTTTACACATTTGATTTGATTCTCTTTTTAGCTATAATAAAAAAAAAACAGACAAAGAAAATATCATGTGAGATTTGACGAAACATACTTTTATAGTAAGTTTACAACAAACTGTGCAAATTGTACTTACTTTAACCAAAATTGGAATATGAGCTCCGTCTATCGAAGGGATTTTCTGTCGTATTTGTCGTCTTAAGCATTCATTGTTATCCGGATCGGCGATCACAAGAGTAAGCACAATTGACAAGATAAAAATGACGGCACTAGCCGCTGACAAGAATGACAAACGCATTTTTATTAGTGCTTACTACACTTCAAGTTATTTCAACTTGATTTGAATGTTTTTGATTTTTCCGCTCTGCTGCACATAGCTTATATAATCTAGAAATGTGATTATCAATAAGTTTTTATGACAAAAGAAAATATACTTTTCTTTCGCAAAACCATTTTTATCTTATGCGGAAATATACGCGTCACTGATAGCTATATCATTATTTCCTTATTGCACATATGTTATATGAAACGTTTGTTAAAACGTGCATTTAAAACTCATACTGTTAGTAGAGAAACTACTTTACGAGTTGTGTAAAGAATAGAGAAGATAAAGATACCAATATAAATTTTTATCATTAACATAATATATAAAAAGTACAAACTGTAAAAACTTATCGTGGCGCAATATACATTCTTCAAAAATAATATGTAAAACTATATGGTAACTTTTTATTTTATAAAATGCAAACGATAAATAATATATATGTATTATATATATATATATATATATATATGTGTGTGTTTTTATTTATATAAGTATGTATGTACAAAAAACAAAAAAGGGAGAACCGTGCTTTTAGATTTAGAGATTCTATTAATTTGTCAGGACAAACCCCCAAACCGCACTATATTTCTTTAGAACGTAGATGGACTTAATTACGGAAACCGTGCCGATTTATTTTAAATTGTCGCGCCCGGTGTGTACAACGTGCCTTACTGCCCGCGTTGTGACGAAAAAAGTTTTATTTCGAACAAGTCTATATTTGGAGTCTCTCGTGTGCTCCTTGTCTTTGTCTTTGTTTTCTTTCTTCCTCTCTCTCTCTCTTTTCACCATTTTTGAATTCACTGTTAATAAACGTTGTTTCATAGATATCATGTACTATGTACGCAATAAAGAAATGGTGATGCAGTTATCAGTGACGCGTATATTTGCACATAAGATATAAATATAAATAATTGTTTTAGTATCACGATATGCGAAAAGGAAATATATTTTCTTTTGTCATAAAAACTTCGTGATAATCACATTTCTACCGTATATAAACTCTGTGCACCGAAACAAACAAATCTAAAACATTCAAGTCAACTTGAAGTATCTATAATTTTAGTAAGCACTAGACAAAATGCATTTATCATTTTTGGCAGTGACTATTGCCATCATCTATGTTTTGGCAATTGTGCACGCTCCTGTGGAAGCAACTGGTGTCGTTGATAATTCTGGGTGGAAAACAGAAGGTCAATATCTAAGACTTAAATACGTAGTAAGTGTACTTTGCACATATTAAAACTCATTATTCAAGTGTGTTCCGACAAATCTTACTTGATATTTTTTGTGCCTTTTTTTTTTGTAGGTACCTGAATTCGCAGGAAAACGATTGACGTGTAGAGTGAGTATACAAGTACTATATGAGAGTGAAATATATAAGAGAATGCTTGATATTAACATTAACCAAATATTCTTTTATTGTTTAGCATTCATTTGTAAGTCATTTATGTAAAGTGAGTATATATACATTATATGAGAATAAAATGTGTAAAAGATTGCTTGATAGTTATATTAAACAAATATTTTATTGTTTAGTTGCTGTATGATATTCCACTTGAGTGTCTATAAGTATAACAGGATCTATACGACTTATAATGTGTAATAATCCGATTTATAATTATAATATGTGTGCACACAATATATTTGAATCTACATAAAAAGTAATAAATATAATCTTAGAATCAGTAAAACATAGTGTTTTCTGTACAAAACATACTAACAACTGTAATACTACTTTTTCTGGCCTTTTTTTCTCATGTACACATTTTCGAATGTCACAAAATAAAAGTAGTAATTAAAACTAATTAATGCTTAGATAAAGATTAGTGTTTTATGTATTTTATCTTAAACATAAGAGAGATAAATATCAAATAAATTATTTTTTGTGTATATTAAGAAAGTTTTATACATGTAGAAATTATTTAATTTTACAAGTATTCTTTTTCTCTTCCTCCCTTTTTCGATTTTATGTTAAGCGCAGAAAACATAACGTAAGCAAGGGACCTATCATCATGTTACTTTTTCCGGTTTCTTCTTCGTCACAAACAGTTAGTATCGTGAATAAAAAGAATAGCCAAGATTTCTTTTGCACAGATAGACAATTGCACAGGTCCTGTTTGCTCAAATCAGTTTTGCGCAGATCACGGTTGTCCATTGTGGTCATTTGCACAGAACATTATTGCACATTTTTACAATCTTACATAGATGAAGCATTATGCATTATAACATTAATGATATTGAGTGCGTTTGTTTTGGCGCTTTTTGCGCTTTAAACGTCAGTTTATCCTTGTTTTACATTCAAAGAGCAATAAAAACGGACTAATGCTTAAAGTGCAAAAGCACCCAAAATGAACGCACTCATTGTGGTAACACAAGATTAGATTAAGTTAAACTGTTTCGGGAGTTGTAGCAAAGGCGTAGCTTCCACTACTCACACGCTTACACACAGAAACATAAATAACATTTAAAAAACTCTTGCTTTAATATTTCTCGGAAAACACTTATCTATTTATGAAATTTTCTTTGTTAAAAACAGCAAGTTGTTACTAAACGACAAAGATGGCTTTATTATTCTTACTCAGGAAAATAATTTTTATACTATCTAAAAAAAATAAGTACACATGTTTCTGTGCAAAAAATATCTGTGTAATATGATACGTGTGCAATACTGTTCATCATACATTCGCAATCGGGATCTTCGCAAAAATTTTTGTACAAACAAGATTTGTATAAACAAAATCTGTGCAACAGTCAATTTGGTCAAAAACAATCTTGGCAATCGGTGTCGTGGCGTGTATGTACGCGTGCCGCGACGTGCGTACGCATGTATCGAATCGCACGAGCAAAACAATAGGTACAATTAAATTTGAAAGTTAACAGCCGTGCTATCAGATGCAAAAATAACGTATTGCATGATGCGTTGTTAGTTGTTAATTTTTGTGTGAATTTCTTTTGTGTGCTTACTTGAAAGATCTGCGATTTTTTTTTTAAGAAAAAGACGTAATTTTGTGTAACTTTTATATCGTAAAATAATATGACTTTTGGTACGGAAAATTATAACACTGATCTCACAAATCAAAAGCGTAAAAATCGATTGGGAAAGAAAGAGAGAAACTTCGGATACTGTCGCCCTACGACGTACTTTCGCAGAAGTATTGTACAACGATGTAAGAATATTAAAAGGTTTAGTCGATTGGCTTCCAATATCGGTCGTCTATAAGTTGTAACTTCATACAGCCAATGATTAATCACGCGGCACCATCGGACGTCATGCGACTCGTCTTAATGATCATTCCACAAATCTGTGTGCTTACAGAAAGTTTATAACAACAAAACCTAGTTGTGCTTATGCAATACCAATCGAGTTCCGCTATTGAAGTCTTCTACCTTAGTAATATTCGAATGATTAATTAGCATTTTTGATTATTGTTTTTAAGTGATAGTGATGTAAAATACTACTCTAAGTGTACAAGTTCAATATACATTTTTTGTTAATTGGATAACAAACAGACGAAAAAATTAATTGTCTTTATGTCAAAGAAAATGAATAAATTGAGATCGTAAACATCTCCATAAAAATTGTTCAAGTATTAGGTGTTATATATGTTTTGCCATAAAATAATTTGACACAAAGATGTCAGACGCAATTTATTTGCAAACATTTATTAGTCACAAATTTATACTGAAACATCTTGTATGGATATTAAAGAGAAAGCAAAAAATATTGTTAGTGTTTTGTACAAAAACACTAACAATATTTCAACAATGTTTTACTGATGCAAAAATTATATTTATTTCTTTTTATATAGATTCGAATGTATTGTGTGCACACATGTTATAATTATAAGTCGGTCGGATATATTACACATCACATGTCGCATAGATTTTGTTATATTGGTCGACACACTTTCTTAAAAATGTAGTTTCTAAACAACAAAATATTTGTTTAATGTTACTATCTAATATTAACAAACACTTACTTATATTTTATTTATATTTTTTCTCATAAAGTATTTTTATACTTACCTCACAAAGCTTTTCGTACTGCCACTGAATCTACACAATAAAATAATATTTGTTTAATGTTACTTTCAAGCAAGCTCGTATGTACTTCATTTATATACAGACTCTATATACTCACACTACAAAGTAGACCTGATTCTTCTTTTATCTATAATTTAAAAAAACAGACAAAAAAAATATCAAATGAGATTTGACGAAACACACTTTAAAATTAAGTTTAAAACAAAATGTGCAAATTATACTTACTTTAGCCAAAATTGAAACATGGGCTGGCTCTATCGAAGGAATGCTCTCTCGTATATCATTTTCTAAGGTCTCACGGTTTAGCGGATCGGCAATCACATAAATGTGCACAATTGCCATGATAAAGATGATGGCACTAGCCACTGACAAAAATGACAAATACATTTTTTTTAGCGCTTACTAACCTTCAAGTTACTTCAACTCGATTTGAATGTTTTTCGGTTTTTCGCTTTGATGCATACAGCTTATATAATCTAGAAATGTGACTATTATAAAGTTTTTATGACAAAAGAAAATATACTTTTCTTTCGCAAAATCATTTTTATCTTATGCGGAAACACACGCGTCACTGATAGCTACATCATTATTTTCTTATTGCGTACATATTATATGATATCTAGGTAAACACGTTTTTTAAAACGTGCATTGAAAACTCATGTTGTTAGAAACGAAACTTACGACTTGTGTGAAGGATAAAGAATATAAAGATATCACTAAAGTTTTATCATTAACATAATATATAAAAATTAAAACCTTATCGTAGCGCAATGTACGTCCTTCAAAAATAATATGTGTAACTATAGATTACCTTTTTACTTTATAATATGCAAACGATAAAATAACGATATAGTATGAATGTATTATACATATATGTTTTTAAGCATATAAGTATGTATGTACAAAAAACGAAAAAGGGAGAACCGTACTTTTAAATTTAGAGATTCTATTAATTTGTCAAAACAAAATCAATATGCACATTCTTTTATTAGAACGTAGATGGAATTAATTACGGAAATCGTGTCGGATTATTTCGAAATTCCGCGCGCGGTGTGTACAACGTGCCGTACTGCTCGCGGTGTGATAGAAAAGTTCCATTTCGAGTCTCTATTTGGAGTCTGTTCGTCTTTATCTTTGCTTTCTATCTTTTTCTTTCAATCTTTTTCTCTTTCAATCTTTTTCTCATTAGTTTTAAACTCACTTTTAAGAAACGTTGTTTTATAGATATCATGTAATATGTACGCAATAAGGAAATGGGGTGATACAGTTATCAGTGACGCGTATATTTGCGCATAAGATAAAAATATACATGGTTATTTTAGTATCACAATATGTGACAAAGAAATATATTTTCTTTTGCCATAAAACCTTACTGATAATCACATTTCTACCGTATATAAACTCTGTGCACCGAAACAAAGAAATCTAAAATATTCAAGTCAACTTAAAGTACCTATAATTTTAGTAAGCACTAGACAAAATGCATTTATCATTTTTGGCAGTGACTATTGCCGTCATCTTTGTCTTGGCAATTGTGCACGCTCCTGTGGAAGCAACTGCTGCCGCCGATCCAGAAGCCCATTTAAACCCAACACAGCTTTATAATAAAGTTAAAGGTTCCGTAAGTGTACTTTGCACATTGTTTTAAATTCATTATTTAAGTGTGTTCCGTCAAATCTCACTTATTGTTTTGAGTCGTATCTTTTGTTTGTAGCTATCCGAATATTCAGGTGATAAAAAAATAACCTGTGAGTCTGTAAAAGTAAGTATATAATATTGTATCAGATAAAAATATATAAATGGTTGCTTGATATAAATATTAAACAAATATTATTTTATTGTTTAGCAAACAGTTGTGAGTGAAATGTGTGCTGTGAGTATATATACATTATATGAAAATAAAATATGTAATATATAAGAGATTGCTTGATAGTAACATTACCCAAATATTTTATTGTTTAGATGCTGAGTCGGTATTTATAATAAGTGTGTCGATCAGTATAGCAGGATCTATGCGACACATGATGTGAAATAATCCGATTTATAATTATAATATGTGTGCACACAATATATTTGAATCTATATAAAAAGTAATAAATATAATCTTAGAATCAGTAAAACATAGTGTTTTCTGTACAAAACATACTAACAACTGTAATACTACTTTTTCTCGTCTCTTTTTCACATGTACACATTTTTGAATGTTAGAAAATAAAAGTAGTAATTAAAACTAATTAATGCTTAGATAAAGATTAGTGTTTTATGTATTTCATATTAAACATAAAAGAGATAAATATCTAATAAAGTATTTTTTGTGTATATCAAGAAAGTTTTATATATGTAGAAATTATTTAATCGTACAAGTTATTCTTCCTCTCTTCCTCCCTTTTTCGATTTTATGTTAAGCGCAGAAAACAACTTACGCAAGGACCTATAATCATGTTACTTTTTCCTGGTTTTTGTCGCTACGAAGTCAGTATCGTAAATAGAGAGGATCCCGATTGCCAAGATTTCTTTTGCTCAGATTGACGGTTGCACAGGTCCTGCTTAAAACAGTTTTTCTTAAAACAGTATTGCGCGAATCCTGGTTATATAGTGTGGTCATTTGCACAGAATATTATTGCACACGTACAATGTTACACAGATGAAGCATTACGCTTGTCTAAGCCAAATTGATTCTTTGACTATTTCCGATATACACCAACACACATACGTGACCCTGAATTTGTGACCGGCGGGATTCGCGATGGGAAGAAGACGAAGGAGAATGAAGGAGTTACGGGCTCTTCATCTCCCCTTTCCTTTCTGACCGGACGTGCCAAATACTCGACTTGTTAACTCACTGTCAAAGCCTTAGAGCTTTTATACATATATATATATATAAAATATACATATATGATAATATATATAAAATATACATATAAATATATAAATATATATAAAATATATAATATATATAATATATATAAAATATACATATATGATAATCCATCTAAGTTCGCGAGATCGACGATCGCGCTTCGAAGGTTTGGCGCTTCGATCTCGCTTCTCACAAAGTTTCTTCTTATTTCTGTATATACGATGTAACGCTGAATCCTAATCCGATGAAGTCATATTAAGCGGATTAATTACCTTGTTCTTTAAGAAAAAAAACCCTTCTCTTTTCGGTAAAAAGTGTGTCGCGATCGCGCGACACACTTTTGTGTCGATCTTTCGGACGACATCCCGAGAATGATCATCAATGTCGGCAGATCATCCGACCGCGCCGTAGCTCTGCGGATCGTGTTCTCGAGTCCGCGAGAAATTGATTCTTTAGATTACTCTCTCTCTCTACACATGATAATTATACATAATTCTGGCGTTAAACCAAGTAACTTATCAAGCAAGCGAGGTTCATCTGCACGATTCGGAGAATACGATCCTTCAATGAAGTCTCGATCGATAAGCGACCATAAGCGTGGCCATTTTTTTTCTCATGTATCATAATTCTAGTCAGTAACTGCACGCACGATGAAAACGACATGCGTACGAAAAAAATGCGAGTGAGAAATATTGTAAGTTTTAGGCAGAGAATTTCATATGTATATACATTTCCGTAACGTCTTTTGTTTATTGGATAACAAACAGACAAAAAAACTACTTGTCTTTAAACAATTAGTTAAAAACAAAAACTAAATTGTTCTTAAAAATCTCAGTGAAAATTGTTCAAGTATTCGATAATATGTTTTACCATAAAATAATGTGACACGAAGATGTCAGACGCAATTTATTTGTTAACTAGTCACAATATTTACTAGTCACAATATTACACTAGTCACAATATTATACTAGTGGAACTACATGTATTACAAAGGAAGAAATATTGTTAATATGTTGTGTACAAAAAACACAATGTTTTACTGATAAAAATATTATATTTATTTTTTTTTATATATCCAAATGTGTATTGTGTGCACACATGTTATAATTATAAGACGGTCAAATATATTACACATCACATGTCGCATAGGTTATATTGCCGACACACTTTATTATATATTTAGAATCTAAATGACAAAATGTTTGTTTAATGTTACTATCTAATATAAACAAATTCTTACATATTTTATACTTATAAAGTATTTATATACTTACATCACAAAGTCTTTCGTGCCAAAGGTGAAACTAAACAATAAAATAATATTTGTTTAATGTTACTATCAAGCAAGCTCGTATGTATTTTATTCTCATACAGTATCTATATACTCACTTTACACATTCGGTCTGATTCTCTTTTTAGCTATAATAAAAAAAACAGACAAAAAAAATATCATGTGAGATTTGACGAAACATACTTTTATAGTAAGTTTACAACAAACTGTGCAAATTGTACTTACTCTAACCAAAATTGGAATATGAGCTCCGTTTATCGAAGGGATTTTCTCTCGTATTAGTCTTAAGCATTTATTGTTATCCGGATCGGCGATCACAAGAGTCCGCACAATTACCAAGATAAAGATGATGGCACTAGCCACTGATAAGAATGACAAACGCATTTTTATTAGTGCTTACTAAACTTCAAGTTACTTCAACTTATTTTGAATTTTTGATTTTTTGCGCTCTGTTGCACGGAGCTTATATAATCTAGAAATGAGATTATCAATAAGTTTTTATGACAAAAGAAAATATACTTTTTGTTCACAAAACCATTTTTATCTTATGCGGAAACAAACGTGTCACTGATAGCTATATCATTATTTCCTTATTGCGTACATATTATATGATATCTAGGTAAAAACATTTCTTAAAACGCGCATTGAAAACTCAAGCTGTTAGAAAAGAAACTACTTTACGATTTGTGTGAAAAATAGAAAATATAAAGATAAATTTTTATCATTTTAACATAATATATAAAAATTAAAAACTGTAAAAACTTATCGTGGCGCAATGTATGTCCTTCAAAAATAATATGTGTGACTATATGTTACTTTTTTACTTTATAATAATCGAACAATATATAATATACATGTATTATATACATATTATATACATATGTTTCTGAGCATATAAGTATGTATGTACGAAAAACGACAAAAGGATAACCGTACTTTCAAATTTACAAATTGTATTATTTTTTTACACCAAAACTGAAACAGACAATTATTTATTAAGACGTAGATAGAATTGATTACAGAAACCGTGTCGAATTATTTTGAATTTCCGCGCGCGGCGTGTACAACGTGCCTTACTGTCTGCGTTGTGACAAAAAGAAGTTTCATTTTGAACAAGTCTATATTTGGAGTCTCTCATGTGATCTTTGTTTTTGTCTTTGCTTTCTTTTTTTCTCTTTCACTCTTTTTCTCATCATTTTAGAACTCACTTTTAAGAAAAGTTGTTTTCTAGATGTCATGTGATATGTACGCAATAAAAAAATGGTTATATCAGGACGCGTATGTTTGCGCATAAGATATAAATATTAATGGTTATTTTAGTATCACGATATGCAAAAAGGAAATATATTTTTTTTGTCATAAACACTTAGTGATAATCACATTTCTATCGTATATAAACTCTGTGCACCAAAGCGTAAAAATCAAAACTATTTGAGTCAAATTGAAGTACCTTAAAGTGTAATAAGCACTAGACAAAATGCATTTGTCATTTTTGGCAGTGACTATTGCCATCATCTTTGTTTTGGCAATTGTGCTCGCTCCTGTGGAAGCAACTGCTGCTGGTCAAATCAATATTTGGACTCCATCACATATTTATGAATATACTAAAAGAGAAGGCATCTTCGATGTACTTAGCACAATTTGTTTTAAACTCATTATTTAAGTGGATTTTGTCAAATCTTACTTGATGTTTTCTGTTTTTTTTTTGTAGGAATTAAGAGACTGGAAATTTGATTGTAGTTTACAAGTGAGTATATAAATACTGTATGAGATTAAAATATATAAGATGTTGCTTGTTATTAACATTAAACAAATATAATTTTATTGTTTAGCATTCTACTTTTACTAGAATGTGTCGTGTGAGTATTTATACATTATTAGAGAATGTAATATGTAAGAAATTGCTTGATAGTACCATTAAACAAATATTTTATCGTTTAGTTGCTGAGTCATTTTACGTACTAAGTGTGTCGATCAGTATAGCAGGACCTGCGACGTATAATGTGTACTTATCCGATTTATAATTGTGTGCACACATAGTATGTGAATTTATATAAAAAGTAATAAATATAATCTTAGCATCAGTAAACCATAGTGTTTTCTGTACAAAACAATTTAACAACTGTAACACTTACCTTTTCTTGTCTCCTTTTCAATTTGTACACATTTTTGAATGTTATATAATAAAAGTAGTAGTTAAAACTGGTTAATACTCTTCGATAAAGTGTAGTGTTTTATGTATTTTATCTTAAACAATAAGAGAGAGATAAATATCTAATAAATTATTCTTTGTGTGTGTATATCAAAAAAGATTTATATATGTAGAAAATATTTAATTTTACAAGTTATTCTTTCTCTCTTTCTCTTTCATTTTATGTTAACCGAAGAAAGCATAACTTACGTAAGGGAGACCTATAATTAAGATATTTTTTCCTGTTTTTGTTTTTGCCGAACAGTAAGTATGTATTGTAAATAGAGTGCATCCCGATAGTCAAGATTTTTTTGCCTAGATAGACAATTGCACAGGTTCCGTTTGTTTAAAACAGTTTTGCGCATATCCCGGTTGTCCATTGTGGTCATTTGCACAGAACATTAGTGCACATTATTACAGTCTTACACTGATGAAGCATTATGCATTGTAACATTACTGATATTGAGTGTGTTTGTTTTGGCGCTTTATGCACTTTAAGCGTCAGTTTATCTTTGTTCTACATTCAAAGAGCAATAAAAACGGACTAATGCTTAAAGTGCGGAAGCACCCAAACCGAACTCTCTCTAATTGTAGTAACACAAGATTAGATTAAAGTTTCGTTTAGGTGTAGTAGCAAAGGCGTAGCCTTTACTTCCTACACGCTTACACACAGAAACATAAATAACATGAAACAAAGTCTTATTTTAATATTTCTCAAAAAACAATTATTTATTTGTGAAGTTTTTTTTGTCAAGAAAACAACAAGGTGTTACTAAACGACAAAAATGGCTTTAGTATTCTTTCTCAAAAAAAAGATTTTTATAAAATCTAAAAACTAAGTACATGCTCCTGTGCAAAACAGTTATCTGTGTAATATGTACGTGAGCAATACTGTTTATCATACATGTAATAGAAATCTCCGCAAAAAGTGTTTGTACAAA